TTTTTTTTTTTTTTTTTTTTTTTTTTGTACTGTTTGAATTTTTACAGTGAGATCATAGTCACTTTTCATGGAAAGGTTTAGCGGTAAGCCTATAACCTATTCCTTCTTTTTACCGAGGATCCTTGGAGGGAAAAGATCCCCACTCAGGTCCCCTAGTAACTAGAGCTTTGGGTAAGCAAATGGATGGCATTTACTACTGGAAAGATAATGGTGAGTCTATATCTGTAAAATGCGTTTAGCAATACAGGGGTGGGCAAAAGTCGATTTACAGTTGTGAGTATGCAAAACACAGAGTTTACTCTTGTGTTATTATTTACTAATGATTGTCTTAGCCTTCCATGCGAACTGTAAACCTACTTTTGCCACACAATGTATATACTTCGTCTGCACAGTTTATTGTAAATACACTCGGACAGACTGAGTTTCAGTACCAGCTCATCCTTTCCCTTATCCATTCACTTATTCAACATATATTTATGAAGCACCCCAATGTATGCACAAGGTATACAGAAATGAACAAGAGAGCCAGACTCCGCACCATTGTGGGTTTGCCGTTTCATGGGAGAGAGACCAAAAGGAAGCCATCAGCCACAGGGCACCCGTGGAGCTAAGAAGCCCAGACAGGGAGGCTGGGTCTGTGTTCCATCAGACAGGAACTCAGGGAAGCCTTTCCTGGAGAGAGGCCAACCGAGATGGGGGCTGGAATTGACACATCGGGAGGTTAAGCCACCGTGAAAGTCATGCCTTTAGGCCAAGTCTGGTAGACTTCCCGCGGCAGCGCCAGTCAGGGGCCTCCAGCTATGCACAGGGCATGCGGATGGCTCTCAAGAGAAAGCTTCTGCCTTTTCTTCTCAGTATCTTACACGCTGTTCAGTATGGGTGCTCACCATATTCTGAGTGAATTTTGAACAAATAAATGACCAGTGACAGGATACTGAGTCCAAGCTGGGGCAGCGCTGACTGGAAATCTGCCCCTTTGCCCTCCAGATGTTCCTCTGCCAAGATCAAAACCGTGGTGTTTGGGCTGTTCCCTGTGCTCTCCTGGCTCCCCAAGTACAAAATCAAAGACTACATCGTCCCCGACCTGCTTGGCGGCCTCAGCGGTGGATCCATCCAAGTGCCACAAGGTGAGGGGTCCTCTCAACCAGGCCTGTTCCTCTCCCACTCCCACCTTCTGTGGCCTCCATAACCCACGTGCCCCTAAGCCTTCATCTCCCGTCCTCTGCAGGCATGGCATTCGCTCTTCTAGCCAACCTTCCCGCCGTCAACGGCCTCTACTCTTCCTTCTTCCCCCTGCTGACCTACTTCCTCCTGGGGGGCATACACCAGATGGTGCCAGGTGAGCCGGAGGACAGGCGGTGTGAAAAGGGGTTCGGGTGATTTTCTATCTGCATTCTCTAGTTGGAGCCGGGTGGTTGTTGAGGGACCGTCACTGTGTCAGTCCCAGGTCCTCTGTGACCTTGGAGAAACCTCTTAGCTTCTGCGAGCTCAGTCAGCATTACTTGTTCTGCCTTCCTCCCTGGAATGTGGGGAAAACTTGGTGGAACAAAATGAACTGTGTGCCATAAAGTGCTAAACAGCTGTGAGAAATTACCTTCTAGCCCCCAGGCTGGTCTCAGCAGGCCACTGCGGGGGACATTTGGAGTTCTCTGGTACTAAGTGAGATAGAGAAAAAGGGCCTGGTCACAAGGCCTGTTTCTGGGTTGGGTTCTGCTTGTATTTCCAAGCTTGATTCCTCACGTGTCCAATAAAATAATATTAACAGTTGAGATGAAAGCACCGTGAGAAGTGTAGATCATGGTCAGATGGGAGTGGTGATATGCTGGAGAGAAGCCTTGGAGGCCTTGGGCTCCATCCCCTTGGGGATCAGGGAGCAATCCTGGGCCCCTTGATGGTTTCTGTAAGTTTGGTCCAAGCCTCTGACTTTTGCTGGCTGGGTGGGGCACCACAGGTACCTTTGCTGTTATCAGTATCCTGGTGGGTAACATCTGTCTGCAGCTGGCCCCAGAGTCAAAATTCAAGGTCTACAACAATGCTACCAATGAGAGCTATGTGGACACAGCAGCCATGGATGCGGAGAGGCTGCACGTGTCAGCGACACTAGCCTGCCTGACTGCCGTCATCCAGGTGAGGGGGATGGCCAAATCCCTGCCAGGGCCCTGGCCAGGAGAGCATTAAACCACCCTGCCCCTGACTCAAAGACCCAGCTTTGATGTTAAAGCTGATTTAGGGCTCTACCTCCTCCCTCTTCTCCATTCTTAGGGCTACCAAAAACTTAGAAAAGCTAGATACCTCCTCACCTCCCTCCAGCAGGTCCATAAGACCAGCATTCAGACTTAATAAATCTGTCCTGAGTTTGGACTGTCTCACAGACTCGCAGCCTCTCTCCACTCCCTTTCCAGAGCCAGCTCTCTGCCAGCACAGTCCTTCTATTTCCTGACACCCCCTTAGCCCCTCCAGCCTCCTCTGCTCCAAGCCACAGCATCACCTGCACAGCATAAATTTCCTTTTCGCCACATGCAAAGGACTCTGCTAGGTTTTGTGAAGCACAGCCTAACAGAATGCCAGAGCAGGAAGCAAACTGAGAGGCACCTTTCATTCATTCATTCATTCAGTTAATGTTTCTTAGTTATTTCACTGTGCCAGGAACTGGGCTAGGCCCTGGGGATAACAGATAAGTAAGAAAGAGGCCCAATTCTCCAGAAGCTCCCAGTCCAACAGAGGAAGTAGCCATGTCAACAGATAAATTTGTGGGCATTGAGATAAGCAGCATAATAGAGCTATGTACAAATAGCTGTGGGAACACCAAAAAGAGTCAGGAAAGACCTCTCCTCAAAGAGAGGGGGTGATCTGAGTCTTAAGGGAGGACTAGCAGTTGGCCAGTAAGCAAATGAATGAGGCATGCAAGGACGGTCCAGGCAGAGAAAACTTACCCCCAGAACACTATGGCCTTAGAGAGGGCAAACTGACCAGGAATGGCAAGGCAAGGGGTATAGTGGGTCTGGAGGGCAGCGGGCCTTTGGGGATGGGCCAGAGAAGAGGCCAGAAAGGTAGACATGGAACAGACAATGAGATCTGAAGTCTGTCCCCTAGGTAGTTGCTTTGTGTCCAATTGGCAGTCAAGGATAATTTGGGCTATGGAGAAGACGATGGGTGGTAGGTGGATCAGAATCAAGGCAGAGAACCTGTTGGGGATATGCAGAGAGGCAGGCAAGAGTGCTGGGGGCCTAGCCCAGTGGTGGCCATGGAGAAAACTGTTGAGATAGGGGTGGACTTGAGGAACATCTTGCCAGGAGCAAAATTGACTGGGCTTTGGTTACAGATAGGGTGTGGGAGGTGAGGGAGAGATGACTCCCACAGTACTGGTTGGCCAACTGGGTGGATGGCAGTGTCATCCACTGACAAAGGAAACACTGAGGGAGGACAAGTTTCATTTACAGATGAGGAAACTAAAGCCAGAGAGGTGGGGTGACAAAGAGGCCAGTGTCCTTCAGGGACCAAAATTCTGCGGTCACAGTAAAGAGCAAGACAAGGTCCGGAAGGACTCATTTCCCCAGAGTTCCTGCTGCCCAGGGCTGCACAGAACTCCAGCCCTGGGTTTGGGTCAGGCAGGTGTGGGAGCTGCTGACCCTCTTGGTCATTCCCCCCCCCCCC